TATTGGTTTTTTACTTAAATGTTTTGTTTTTCATATTAAAGGAAATTATCTCATGGTATCTATAGTTTACAGCAATTTGGAATACTTTTGTGAATAAAGGTGGAAATATTTGCTTTTCCTTTCTTCTTGATTCCTCCAATTTGGAAACTGAGTATTCATTTGTTTTTGTTTTTGAGACAGAGTCTTGCTCTGTTGTCCTGGCTGGAGTGCAATGGCACGATGTTGGCTCAATGCAACTTCTGCCTCCAGGGTTCAAGCAATTCTCCTGCCTCAGCCTCCCAAGTAGCTGGGACTACAGGCATGCACCACCACGCCCAGCTAATTTTTGTATTTTTTAGTAGATACGGTGGCTGGGCGGGGAGGTTTTACCATGTTGGCCAGGCTGGTTTCAAACTCCTGACCTCAGGTGATTCACCCATCTTGGCCTCCCAAAGGGCTGGGATTACAGGCATGAGCCACTGTGTCCAGCCTATTTCTGAGTATTCTTAAGGCAATATGATTTGCTTAAGTTAAATAAAAATCTGCTCTCATTATAACAGGATACAATTGGAAACACTGGTTGTATTACCAAGACTTTGACTGAAATGTCGTATTTGAGAATCTGTAGAATGCCTGGCTTCAATGTTCTCAGCATTACACTGAATTAAAATCTGTCATCTCTTGGCAGGCCCAGGAACCTTAAAACTATAGGTAAAATCTAAGTCTACCTTGATTTAGCTTCCTAGCCTCAAGGAGGTTTTTAAATCTGAGATTACTGTGACCATACTACTATTCTTGCAGACAAAATCTGATAAATTTTACAAATCTGTTTTATTCTGAATATCTTTGGTAAAAATCTGGATAACTTTATGTTTCTGAAGGAAGCTATATGTACCTGTTATTAGATCGCAGCTCTGTACTCTGTTTTGAAACTCCTGTTATCCACCTGCAGACCGGATTTGCTCCTGAACCCTCCTAATTTCCTTCAACATTTGGCTATAACTTTCTAAGGAAAAAAAACAAACTATTCCCATGCTCTGAGGCCTATAAGCTAAGATGTGATGAATTTTTAAAGGAGCAAGTCTCATGGTAATGTATGGGTCACACAAAAGTTCACCACACCAACCAATGCCACAGCTAGAGACATTCAAACTGCAAACCAGGACAAAAAGTTGATGATTTCAGGCTGTAGACATTTTCCCCAAGACATCAGAGCAAGAATTGTATTATAATTTGATTTATTCAATTGGTTGCCTTTAAGCCTAGATTCAGGGCTCAAAACCATTATGCAAACTGGGATTGTTACATTACTATTAATTTTACTTTGTATATTTCCTTTTTAAACTTTTTATCTGTTATTTGTCAAATTTTTTGCAGAAAGAAGTACAATTCCTAACAGATAATGCTAGAGCCCAGCACTCTGAGGGCACAACGAGGGACTAAGGAAAAAAATTTAAAAACTTAATAGACTCCAGGTGGACTTAGCCTGAGTGCCACTCCCTTCAAACCTCCCTGCACTCAAAGGTGGCTAAAAGGGTTTTAACACTGACTTTTAGTTGCCAATCACTCCTGCCAATGCAGGATGCAGGACCAGACCAATAATCTGGGAAAGGTCTATTCTGTCAGCAAGGGACAACCAAAGCCTAACTACAAGATGACTGATCATAGATACTTCTGGAAAAATATATTGATCAAGAGAGGGAAAGGTGAAAGCTATTAGAATCAAAACGGAGTCATGTTTCCAAAAGCCCTGACAAATGGAGCCAGGGAAGTCCATGAAGAGAGGGTTCTTACACACTACCTCAAAGACCCAGAAGAAACCATGCCAGCTTGCACGAATACTATTCCCAACCTTACACAGAAAATACTTTTGCGACACCTGCCTAGAAGCTCATTGTCCAACCCCAGACTGGCAGCATCCTTGTTATTAATCCTTGTAGCCAAGAACTATTATTTCAAGAGAATTACATAATCTTTATCTGTCCTTTAAAAACCTGTCTTCCTTTACCTTCCCGAATACACACAGTTTACTACAGCATGCATACTGACTTCACAATGCCCTATTCCCAAATTAACATCATTTTCTTTTAGAAAGCCTCTGTTATTTAGGTTGACAGTTATTACACCTGAAAACTAAATGCTAGCTGATCAATAAAATTCTTTGGTTCTACTGTATACTTTTATTTGGGGACATCTGCTTCCAAACACACTAATTACAGTACACTCACTTTTTAATATAGACAGTATACATTTTTTTAAATCACACAAAAAGTATGTCTAAAATTTTTATATTTAATTTCAAACACCAAACTTAAATAGACCAATAACACAGATCTTCTGTGGTCCACAAATCATGGTAAAAAACTTTGTTTTCATATGCCCATTATGGCTTGCTGACTGGCTTACTGCATTTTAGATTTTCCTTATGATTTTAGTAGCTTTCTCTAATGGAATGTGCTGAGTGAAGCTTCAAACATTTTCCATTGAACATACACAGATATCCAAATAAAGACTGGAAAAAATATACACCAAACAGTCATTTTCTCTGGTTGTTGGAATCTGGGTGATTTTTTAAAGTCCCATCCACTGTGCTGCCAGTAAAAGACCACAAAATATTTTTGTGTATTTACAGGAACGTGATAATCAAAAGTTGTTGTGGGACCATTCAAGATGAGTGCAGGGAAGGGAAGCCCATTTAAACATATATTCAAGGAAAAATAAATTAAGTTACCTGAACATTTGGGTAGAAATATTGAGCACTGCTATGGTCTGTCTCCCAAACTGTCCCTCAAATGCATCATGAGATTTTATCTTCATTGTGGTGGTGGTTGAGAGCTGGGGCCTAGTGGGAGATGTTTGGTTCACAGAGGCAGATACCTCATGAATGGCTTGGTGCTGCTCTTGCAATGAGTTCTCACTCTCTCAAGACTAGATTAGTCCCCATGAGTGGGCTGTTAAAAAGAGACTTGTTTGGTTGTTGTTAAAAAGTGGGTCGTTTGCACTTCTGCTTCCCCTTTGCCCTTCTCCATCAAGCTATGAACCAGCAGCAAAGCCCTTGCCAGAAGCCAGGGTCATGCCCTTGAACTTCCCAGCCTGTAGAACTGTGAGCTTTTTTCATAAGTGACCCTGCCTCAGATATCCTGTTATAGTAACACAAAACAGACTAAGGCACACAAAAGCTGAGGACTGATGTCGACTCCACTTTCAAGGGCTACCAAACACAGCCACATCACCAAAGAGAAGCTCACTTCCTGACCTCCTTAGAAGCAGAAACTTGACTCTCCGGGCAAGATAACTGTTGTTTTTTAAAAATTTCAGCGTCAAAGTTAAAACATACCTTGATCAGTCAACCAAATTACTGCTAAACCAGTACTGGGAAGCTTCCTAAAGCACTCTAAGCTTCTAACAGCCAGCATGAAGTAAAGCAGATAGCATCTTTGCATTTAAGAAGTCAAAGAAAGGTTTTGGAAATGGCATTAACGTAAATGTTCACATTAAGAGAAAAAGGTTTCCCTGAATTGAATGATTCTTTCTACTTTCTAGTGCTGGACAGGATAGGCTCAGACTTAAGAGTGTTAACTTCCAGTCATGTGATAATGGCCAGGAGCAACCACAATGCTTAACCTTTAGATAGAAAACACATTCCTTTGCTTTTGTCTTCCTTATGTATGTTAGATTAGGCTTCTATTCAATCCTCTATGAGTTAAAACATTTAGAACCAAATAGGCCATTCTATTAAGACCCAGCTTGAGCACTCTTCAGCTTCTCCACATTTTCCATTATTTGCTGGCAAACTAGTACAGTAACCTGTTAAATACAAAGCAAGGGTGTGGTAGATTGACTGCATTTAAGGCTCCAATTCTTCACCCTTCCTGTGTTCTCTCCCTTGGTCTAATAACTCTGTAGTGCCTTCTCACACTGGGTTTAGCCATGTGGCTTGTTTCTGGTGAATGCTGGTTAGCATGAAGCATGCAGACATGAAAGGGAATTATGGGATTGGGCTTGGTTGTTATTGCCTTCTACAACCTCCACAAACACATGCTTGTTTAATGGAGGATAGGAGGCACATGGAAAAATGCCAAGTCCTTCCAGTTGAGGCCAATTCCCGCATGAACGAGGAAAGACTACAACTGCTCCAGCGACACCTAACCAAAATCACTTATCTAATTCATAAACTCTTTATTGCTGCACACCACTGGGTTTTTGTGGTTGCTACAAGTTACTTTTGTGGCAACAATTGCTCCAGTATGTTTTATGTGTTATTTCTGAATTTGACATCTTATTTGAAAACTTTCTTAGAGAAAGATTTGTTAATTAGCAGAGTAACCTTCACCTGGTATTCTGTAGACTGTGCAGATTCAGTCATCCAATGTTGAGTACCCACTTTGAGCTGAATGATCTCTCAAGTGCTCTCACTTAATTATCATAACTACCCTGAAAACTAACTTCCTCATTTTAGGAAACTGGAGGAAATGAAGAACTTTAAGGCAGACTGATGAAAAGATTTATCTAAAGTCACATAAATTGGCACAGTCAGGGTCCAAACCCCAGGCCTCTGATTCGGAGTCAAATTGCATTTTCCATTACATCGGAAATGACCAAGGATTAAAATTAGCAGAATGTTATTCTGTCCAGCCATTAAAATCCAAAAAACTTTTGTTCTAAGTAGGCAATGGAGTTTTCATTCCATTATCCAAGATAACTGACTATATAGGACTGTTTGCTTCAAGCGTTCCATCCTTAGTATTCTTGTTAAAAATGGCCTTTAAGATATTGCTATTCCCAGTCGAGAAATACCCAGACAACTAAAGAGACTAAAGTCATATAAATCATCCATTTCCCAGTTTAATCTTGAAGTGAAATTTATGTTCAATATCCCTCTCCAGTCAGTCACTATGTAAATTTTGAATTAAGACATTATTACTTGGTGGCAATATTGGTTAGAAAAAAAGTACATCCACCTTTACAATGGTCACATAACAAATGTGGAAAGAGTGGCTATAAAAAAATAACACACCCACCTTCAATCAAATGCAATCTTTTAAAGAATACAAACAAGCCAGATTCTCAGATATCTCTCCCTTTTGCAATTTTGATTCTGAAAAAAATATTTAAAGGAATCAATTAGGTATTCTAAAAGAAGGCAGTTTTCTAGGGGTTTCTTTAATTATGGGGGTTAGGTGTAGAGAGATAAAAACAGGAAGCAGTGCATAGGTAGTATGAAGTAGACATTTTGGCAAATAAAAATTGCACCATATGACATGTCACACAGAAATTGTTAGAGACTTCGAATCCTAAAATTTAGTTTACTAAAGTAGCTTTTTATGTTTTATATATTTTACCAACAAATAATTATGTTAAATTTAAGCATCTGAATCCTGAAACGATAAAGTACAGGAAAATAATGACTAAGCTAATAACTATACCTTCGGAGTATAAAATTTTGTCAGTGGTTTTCATTTTAGAATTAAAAATTTGAATTTCCCTTTGCCTACAAGTGTTAAGTAACTTGCAGCAGCAAATGCCCCCATTAACAACTTCAAAGCATAGCAAGAATCCACAGTGGTTTACAGGCCACTAATTCTTTCATAGATGAAAGCATTCAATTATCTCTATAAAATTCAATTCCTTAGAATATGTGTTTGTGATTGACGATACACATTTTTAAATGTGGTGATAACACAGGCTATTATTCATGATTTAAAAGTTGAAACTGATTTAACATGATTTAAAAGAAGTAACTTGTGGTTCTTGGGTCAAACACACACTGATATGTTTTTTTCAATATAAAAGAGCAACCTAGACATTCCTATAAAACATTTTTATTCCAGGTGGTAAGCTAGGCTTAAATTTTCACTTTTCAGCCAAGCGCGATGGTTCACGTCTGTCATTCCAGCACTTTGGAAGGCCGAGGCAGGCAAATCACCTGAGGTCAGGAGTTCAAGACCAGCCTGGCAAATATGGTGAAACCCTGTCTTCACTAAACATACAAAAAGTAGCCAAGGCATGGTGGTGTGCACCTGTAATCCTGGCTACTCAGGAGGCTAAGGCAGGAGAATCACTTGAACCTGGGAGGAGGAGGCTGCAGTGAGCCAAGATTGCGCCATTACACCCCAGTCTGGGCAACAGAGCAAGACTCTCCGTCTCAAAAACACAAACAAAAAAAAAAAAAAAAATCATTTTCCCACAGCAGCACATTTTTAAACAGCAAACCATTTAGAAGTGAGTCATCGTTTGTATTAAAACCTTATTTACATGGTACTTATATTTTAAGTAGTTTGATCAGATACTGCCACAATATAGTTTAGAGATAAGGCCTCTCATGAAGGAAAACTTTACAAGATTTAAAATCAGAGCAAATGAATCTCTTAAGTTCATGATATGTACTCTCAATGGAGAATCGCTGTTGGGCAGTGGTTAAGGCCTCTGATTTACTACTTATCAGAAAAATCCACATACACACAAAACTCTGCTAAAATTCCAATGGCTTCTCTAGATGAATAATCTTTGGCTGTGAGCAAAAAAGTTAACTACGTTTCACTTAATACACATACACACACACACACATACAGACACACACACACACTAGGGTGTATATGCAGCAACTTCCTCATCCTCATTCCACTTGTAGCCCATTCTTGGCTGGGTTATGGCTTGTAATCTCAGAACCACTGCCCCCAAAATGACTGCTCAGTAGCACAATCTCACTGTAAACTATGGAACCCAAACTATACGGCTATCCTTGGCTTTTAACTCCAAGCTATCTAGGCCTTGTGATTGTATGTGGGCTTCATAGCAGAACCTACCCAGCTTGTGGTTATCGATTTTCTGCTCACCATGTAAGCAGTAGCTCAATAATACTGTCCAGTTTTCATGCATATCCAGACACACAGGTGAGAGTTCTGTTCCAAGATCTCCTTTTGACCTTCTTCAAAGGTCTTCTCCATCTCTCCAAATTGAATGTATTCTTCAACCCGGGGCTTAAACTGTACTCTGCCCATCTTCTTCCTGGACCAAACTGTTCAGAAGTTAACTTCTTTTTCTTGTCATCACATCTCCTTCCTAAACTACTTTAGAACTTAAGTAATTTTATCTTCACATAACACTTAGAAAGGTGCAGAGGCAGCCAACAAAACTATTGAAGACAGACTGTAAAAACTGGCAGATCTCCATCTCAAATTCCATTTATTCTATAACCAATAAAGTCATGCAGCTTGGACTGGGGCACAGTAATACATTCTGTTCTCATGTAGCTTCCTAAAGAGCTTGCTTAGTTTATTGTTCATTTATCACTGAACCTGTTATCTGCTATGTCTGATTCAACATTCTTGCCTTCCATTAATGTGATTTTAAGAATTACTGCATGTCTCACTATGGCAAAATAGCATGACATTTGTTTTACAAAATCAGTTAAACCAATTCTACAAATATTTCCATACCCATTTATAGCAGCAGCAGATAATTTTTATGTGCAAATTAGCTTTTTGGGTTTTTCTATTCCTATATTTGTAAACTTGTAATTTTTAGGTTGGGCTTACTGTATATTTTGATGAAAAGGGTGACTCTGTCAAAGGGGAAGCTAGATAACTGTACGTTGCAAACATGTTCATGAACACATTCTTCATCCAAACTTAGACAAACCTGGAGCTTACAATAATTGCATTGGATGACATCAGTTTGATACTGATATGCCTGCTTCCTGCACTAAGAGGCTTTCAATCTATTTTGAAGAGGGAAAAAATATGCCAAGTGGGGAGACAGCCCAAACACAGACCTTAATACTTCTCTCATACTCTTCAGCCACTTGATGAACACGTGGAATTATGGATGCTAGGGCCATTAGAAAAATCTCCTGATACAGATCAGTGTCACTACTTCAAGCTAAGCAGTGGCAGGCAATGCAAGGGTGAGGTGACAATGTAGAAGGATCTCCTCTAGTCATCCCTCAGTGTTGTTGTTCAATGTTGGGAGGTCCCTTTTAGATTGTTTATATAGTGGCAGGTGGTAGCAATTATAGTAAATCTTCTTGGGTTTCCTCGTAATAAAAAAGTGTTCATAAAACTGTACCAGTCCCAGGGCTATCCAATGCCATGCGGAATAGTGTATTTTAGCATTTGAGGTCCCTTTTTGTTGCATACTAAAGCATGTTTAAAATGGTTTGCAGAAAACAGCCTGCTAACCAGAGAAATACTGATTCATCCACAGAACTGAATTCTTGCAAGGCACAGAGGAAGAGTGGCTGACCTAAATATTTCTCATTTTTAAAATTATTTCATATGATTATATGAGATTATATCTTATCTAGTATTTTTCAATGGAGCCTTAAAAATGTTATTTTGTTAAAAATATATTTTAGCAAATTTCAACTCTGAAGATGTTTTTGTTTACAGCATAGATCTTATGTATTAGAGCACTAATGTGGCATAGGCAAACTCTAAAATAAATAAAAATGTATAAATAGCACTGTGCAGTGTGTGGTGTGTGCCTGTTATGGGGCAATATTAAGTAGTATAAATTTATCTGCCGGGGGATAGGATAATCTTTTACATAACACCAAATTAAAAAAACAAAAACATGCACTCTTAAAATCATAACGTCCATATGTGAAATACACTTTTTTTGGTTTCCATATAGAGAGTGAACACCAAAATGTAATCCCATATAAAAAAAGATCAGTTTAAATAAAAATTAGAACAATTAAAAATTAGTCCCATAGTAACATGGTAAATAACTCAAATGGCTTTCTTTTAATGCTAGGAAAACTGTCCACCTTTCAACGGTGACAGGGCTGTTAACACAGGTAAGAGCAAACAAGGTAAAAAGTGAAAGCACATACAGATGATGCACACAAATATATATAAAAACTGACCAGAAATCACAGGACACGTCAGCAATGTTTTCTTAAGCAGAACTTTTTTTGTACTTTAAATAGACTAAAATATTTGGTGTAGGTGGGGGAAGGACAGCAGTATTCAACAATTTTAACTTGAAAACCAGCTGTAATAAAGCCTCAGCTCATTGTTTAATAAAAATAAAAAAGGAACCACATTATACTTTTGACAATAATAGAACAAAAGCTTACAAAGAACATATTTAATATCTCCATCACAGTGCACCAAGGATGCAGCCACTGAGGACTATCAGAGGGAAACAAGGAACAGGGTCTGCATCCGTCATATTGCGTTACAAAATTAATGCCATCAGAGAAAAAAATCTCACCTCACGTGCTCAGTGTTCTAGCTGGTAAGCACCTTATGAGTATGAGGCTAGAATTGAGAGAAACTGCTCAGTCTGCATCAGGACACCCAATTCCTTCACTTGCCATTGGCTGATGCATTTAATCATTTCAACACAACGTTCACGGAGAAATACACCACCACATTCTGGCTTCTTGAGCAGGACAGACTGGGAAATGCAGCAGACGCCAGAGCATCAAAGGCCATGTATTTCCTCACAAGAAATCTGCAACTACAATTGGTTTCCTTTTACTATGAAAAATGTAAATTTCAGATTAAGTTTAACCCCGTAAGGACACATGATTTGTACTTACATATACACATAGGTTCAGAAGAACTTACTATCTAGTTGGCCTCTTCTCTGTTTCATTAAAACATCAGTTACCTTTGTTGGATCACGAAGTGTGAGTCTCACCACCATGCTGGTACCTTCAGCGATTACCTGTGTTATAAATCTCATGTTCCATTCACAGTAGTAAGTGCCAATAAGTATCAGAAATGTTGACAGCCATAGTGCAGCTGAGTTTAGAAGCAACTATGACAACATAAGGAAGTGAGGGTAAATCACGAGAACACCTAAGGTGGCCAGCTCCTTCACGTGTGCCTGGGACTTGCTTGGGTTTAGCACTGAAAACTCCCACATCTAGGGAAACCCTCAGTCCCAGGCACATACTCACTCTTTCCTTAATATCACTAGAGAAAAGGTAAGAACTTTCAAGGGCATGAGGCTACCTTTAAGGGCATCAGTCCCCAAAATATTTTTACATCACTAGCTAATGGCTAGTTCCTCCAAGCTTGCTAAAAGGCTAGGAAGTCCAGAAATACCTTACTTAAAGGTGTTAACTTTAAGAAGAGTTGGCAGTAATCAAGCAAATTAGTGAGCAGTGTATAAAAGCTCACTCTTGAAACCTGTTTTCAGACATATCTTCTAAAGGTTCTTCTAGCTTTGTCCGGTTCTATAGTATTTTACTGTATTCTCTTTTTGCAATTAATCCAGTTTTGTATGTCTTTTTTTTTTTTTTTTAGGTGAAAATACTAAGAACGCCCTTTCTCATATGAAAGAATAAAAACAACTTACTGTGATTACAGGTGTGAGCCACAGTGCTCGGCTGAGTGTTTTTTCTTTTCTTTTTTTTTTTTTTTTTAGGTGAAAATATTCTATGCCAACTGTTTTCCACAGTCTTGCATTATATACTGAAACAAAGACTGCCAGCTGGAGAGACAGCCCTCTGATTACAAAGGCCCAGAATGTTACTTTTAACTGTGCTCCACCAGGAGGTCTGGCCTTGGGAAAAGATGGTGAAAGTAATATTCTCAGATATGAACATTTTTTATTCTGCCTACAATGCTGTGATCTAGTTCAACAACTGCAGAACTGTTTTCATCTTAATCTCTGTAGTTTTTCTTTCTTTACTCTTTTGTATAAAAGGTTAGTGGCACAGCTTCACTATCACTAATAAAAAGATACAAGTATGCCTTTAAAGTCAGGGTTGGAAAAGCAAAAATGAGGAGTGAGGTTAAACTGGTCTAAGAAAGTACTAATTTGGGTTCTGCATTTTGTCAAACAGTGAAAGGTTTTTTAAAAAATTCAAAACTCATGCATGTTACCTACTTGTTACGTGTGAATTATTTCTCACAATTTTAATTAATCTGTGTGTATATCAGTTATATAAAGGAATGGATTTCCACATTCTTAAAGCAGGAACCTATATTCACCAGAAAAGGACCCTATTGTTTCTCACCAAATTTTGTTTCAGCTTGAACAATTCAACACTGGAAATAGTAAGAGTGGCAAACAAATGTTTTCTTACGGACTTACTGAGAAAAGAAAAACCTTACTGGAAGAACAAAGACTTAGTAAAATTTCTATTGCTACAGACAAATGCTAAAAACCAACTTTAAAATAACAGCATTATAAAGGGTAGAACTTAATACAGAACCAGAAATATGGCAAGTTACCTAGTGATTAACATTGTAAAATAGTCAAAAACTTCAAAGCCACAGAGAAAGGAAAACAATTATGAAATGGAAAATATATAATATTTAAGTATTTTTATAATTCTAAAACTTCACTTTTGTCCTTAAATCAATATATTACGGATTTCATTGTTCAATAAATTACCATCTTTAATTAAAAATAAGAAGTAAATCAAAGAGCATATTTTGGAGCAACTAAGAGCTGTTACTTTTTGGAGGGTAAAAGAGTATTTTTCTTGAAAATTTTTTGAAGAAAAATCTAAAAGCCCTCTAATGTTGAGTTAATATAGCTTTCTGACCCCCATCATCAATGGCATTATTCCTCCAAGGGACTCTTAACATCTAAGCAACAGTGAAGTTCTGGGTCCATTATGGATCTCATGGCACCAAACCAACTGACACTGAAGTCAAGTTAATATACTCCAGCGAGATCACCTGTGGGTCAAAGATGGCCCAGAGAATTTTGGAAAATCCATTTATGTTGAGCAAAGCTCTGAATCACCTTCAATCAGGCTGTCAAATACAGAAAAATTTGGTCTTGTAGTAGTATTTCCCAGGGTAACTTAAGCAACAAACTTACACCAGAGGAAGAATTAAAGAGGCAGCAATCTAGTATTATCAACAAAAACAACAAAGTTAACCCTAATTTAGTACATCCCAGAGTCCGCTGGATGTATAATAATTTAGTAACGGGGTATATGACAGAGCTTTCTTTGATGATAACGAATTCTGGCTGTGATTCTGTCACCAAGTTGCCAAAAAATGGTATACCAACTGAACTGCCAAATGGCAGATTAAGAAAATTAATGTATTCCGATGGTCTGTCCATGAAAGGAAAATGTATACAGACAAATTAAGAACATTTTACCAAGATCTGAGATTCAATGGAACAATTGTTTTAACACTGTTAGAATGACCCCAACTGTTAGTTTGTCGATGAATGTATACATATATATAAATTCATACACACACATTTCATACTTAAAAAGACTGAGGCAGTTCTGCTATATATAGTTAGCTACAATATCCAAGATAAAACAATTCCTACTCAAAAAATTACATGAACACACGAGATAAGTTCTTATCATAAATGCTCTCATGAGGCTATCTAGTATAGCTCATATTTCCTGGTTCTAAGGCTCAAAACACAGGAATTCCACTCCAAGAGATAATTTGCCCCTCAATCCCCACATACAAAGTGTAGTCTAAACAAACAAAATGGTAATAAAAAATTGAAAAGGAAGATATAAAAAGAACTCAATAGCAGGATTCTGACTACCTCTGAAGACCACACACTATCATTATTCCTGATTGTCTTAAATACAACAATCCAACATGCCCCAAGATGGAAATTTGGCATCGTAGGGAAAACATTGGCTATGACTGTCAGAAAAGTTCGTAATCTTAAACATAATTTATGCCATTTGCCAGTCACAAAGACATTTACTGAACAGAATTTTTGAGCCATCTGTAAAATTAAAATGATTGAATCAATTTGAAAAGCAATCTTCATGATGAAGAAATTAGGACTCTAGGTATGAAAAGCACGTTCCTTTTTTGTTAATAAATTCAAAGGAGAGAAACATTCTGATATATACAGATAAAAACATGGCTAACAAGAAAGAGGGTAACCAGCAAGTACTACCTGGATGTGTAATGTCAGGAGGAAAGGAAGAATAAAATTCAGGTAATTAATAGATTTAGCAAAGTAAAGTACATGAAAGGAAGAAATGTTTGATATGTCTAAATATCAATGCCTTAGATCAGAGTAAGAAAAAAAGTCATTCATTGTTCGTGTACACAGATTAGATATCTAAAGAGATACTTGGTGGGCAGGGGCTTGGGATGGAGGGCGCAAATTGGAATGTTCAGCTTTTAAAGCAAAGACTGTACATGAAGACATATTTTAAGTACAGTGAAGATTGTCTTGTGTTACTTTATATCCCACCATAAACCTAACCCCCATCCTCAGACTAAGAGGGTATCCAACGCTGAATAAATGCTGAAAATATTTAGTAGTTAAAGAAAAAAGAGAAGGATCTTAAAGGTATATATGGGAAGCTTTTGGAAGAGGTAGAGAATCCAGTGGCGTATATATTCTCTTCTATTTGATTTCAACTAGCAAGAGACTAAAATTGATGTTTGTTTTATCTTCAAAGTCTTAGTTTTAAACTGACAAGGGCACGAAAAAAGTGAAATTAAAATAATTTTAACAAAAGGGAAAGCGTTTGACAGTGTTTAAAAGACAGACAAATCAAGCAAAACTGAATGTGGCTTAAGGTAAAAAATACAACTAGGTATTAAACAATTTGTAAAACCTTACAAAGAAAATTTAACTTTCAAGAAAAATTAGGTAGTCCTTCTGGCAGTGACAGGTCCTGAGGGAAAAAACATAACCTCTACAAGACCAAGCACAGCTCAAGGGTCAGGGCCCCATCCTAGTCATCTTTTTATTATTCAATATCTACCACAGTGGCTGGGCAAACAACAGGCATCAATAAATGGTTACTGACTGAATGTGTATTATAAGGTATCATCAGTATAACCGATATAGCTCAAATCTAATCATGAAAGCTTCGTTAAAGTAGGATAAAAAGAGCACAATCAGTGGTATTCCAGAAGGTAGGCCTAAATCCAATTATATTTTCTAATCTCAACCAGTGGCTATAAAGACTTTCTGAGCTTCTTTTTAAAGCAATGAAACTCTTTCCAAAAGAAACCCCACGCAGTACTTCAATACAGAATAAAGATGCCACTGGCTAGACCAAAGTCAATGGGAACTCCAACAGCCTCCCCTAAGCCAGCCCCCAAGGTGTCTCTGTGGAACCTACTGGAAAAACTACTGCTCATCTTAAAAATGTGATAGAAAGCATACTCATTCAGTTCTGAGGTCATCACACCTAGAAAATTATCAGTACTGTGAAGAACAAATCCTAAGTAATGTTGCAAATTTAAATAAAGACAAAATTTCAACAAAGAGGAGATTCTATCACTTAGAAAAATGAAAACCACACTTATAAATGTGGGGGAGGGGCAGAAAACAAAAAAAACTTAGGCCACAGTAGATAAAATACAAAAAACATCATCTCATTAAAAAACATTAAACATATTCACACAAATGTAATTACGACCATGAAGTAAACTGCTCGACAGGTGTAACTGCTCAACAGGTGTTTTCAAAGAGTCCCAATTTCACACTGTATAGAAAAATCGCACCAGAACTGTAGAGATGTGCTCCACTATTGAAATAGCATGTAGGCACGGCTTCACTTAACATAGTAATGCAAGAGTAACCGCCAAGATCAGGACCTTCTGCCACTTTCAGAGTTGTTTTCTGCCCCTACAACTGATCCCTAACACTATTACAAGTACCCAAGTAAGTAAAAGAAGGGCAGAGGCTCCACTGAGTATCTCCTACAGGCCTGATAGTGGTACTACCTAGGATATTTACTCTGCTCACAAGATGGGTAGTAGAAGACATAATTACTGGACAGCACGAAGTCTAGAAGCAAGCAGCAGGGCACTAAAATAGTGAGAGTTTACACAACAAAAGCTTGTTAAATTAAGTAGTATGTGGTACAAATGCAATTTTTACAGCAAAGGTTGAGGAAGAAGATATACTAGTGAGAATGATATGAAGCAGATCACAAAATAAGGCCACCTTCAAAATATTATAAACTATAGAATCATTCTGATCTTCAAGTTTGGATTTATAGAGGTTTCTGTATAAAGCATTAATACCTACTCAAGAGTTTCCTTTAGTGTGAACCTTTTTGCATTTGAAGGTATTTTCTTTGCCAGGAATGCTTGCCTCCCCTGGCTCATCACTTGGCTAGGTTCTTCAATGTCAGGTATTAGCTCATGTATCCTTTCCTTAGAGGCTTTCCTTGATGTCCTACCTGAAGCATCCCATCTGTTATTCTCCAGTACAGTACCCTGTTTATCTCCTTCATAGACAAGTAGGATGATTAAGGGTTAGTGTAACTGCTGTCTCAGCAAAGGCAGGAACTGTAGTTGTCTTGTTCACCTTTACCCAAAGACTAAGAAAGTTCCTGGTACAAACAGGTGAACAATAAATATTTGTTGAAAGAATAAAAAATTACTATACCAAATTTACATAAATACATACACATACACACAAATATAGGAAAATGGGGAGTACACGATAGAAAACCACCAAATGTTGAAAGTATTGAAAAATGATACCTGTAGAGATAGGTGAATATGATTTCAAAGAACAATTACCAAAGATAGCTTCAAAAATATGAAAATTTATGAAAAGACGACCAGGAGTGGTTATTTTCCATTTCTACTAAGATGCAAACAAAAAGAAATGTTTAAACTGCAATGAGTCAATATTAGATGTCATAATTATTTGCTGCAGAATGAACTACCAACAGAATTTCGGAAATCTCCTCTCACTACAGAGTATGAAATATGGTCAACCACAAAACCAGGATCAGTTAAGGACAGCTCAGACTGCAGGTAACTTATAAGCTAAAAAACTTGCTAAATAAATGGCTTTTCCCCCAATTTTTAAAATTCTGAATTCATAATTATGTGTAGAATAACAATCAATTTATAAATTGAATACAACATACTTTAAAAACAGATGGCCCGTATCTGCTGATCGTACCTCTGCATCACTTTTCTAGGTATTTTGCAGAAACAATTACATTTACAAAACGTCCATTTCATAATACAATCTGGTAACTAAACCAAATCAAGCTACTCGAAGAGCAGAAGATCTGCTGTTGAAATATTTTAAAATACCTTTTGAAAAATGGGTATTTAAAGATTCGCTTTTTAAAAAAGGGATATGTATATGGAAGTAATTCCAGTATATCCCTGAAAATAATTATACTGCCACCTATGCATTTTTTATGAGGTGGAAGGATAAATCAACAGACTGCTAGATTACACAAGTCAATTATTCCTGTTGAAACTTGGGCATAAGACAAAGGGACTTTCTCCATATGAATTCTTACTGTACCCCAGAATTAACTGGTGCCAGCAGTATCAGTGCAACTATTACTGGTGATGATGTCATGCTATGCTGTTTTGATTATGAGGATAAAAATGGCAATGGAAAAAAGAGGCTTGGAAAGGTTTTCAGTATGGTTTCCTCATAATAAGATTTAGCAGTTAAAAACAAACAAACAAACAAAAAACACAAAAAGAATGACTGTTTAAGCCCCACTGAACACATTAAGGTCAAGGATTTCAAAAGTTAATCCACTTTTCTTCCCCCAAGAGTTTATTTTTGGTAAAAGGCAGAAAAATTAGTTTTTCTACAAGGAAAATCTGCTTCTAAATAATTTGAAAATCTTGATATATATTATATATTAAAAAAGACACACAAAAATAACAGAGAAGTGGGAATAACAGATTAGGTACTGTAACTTTATAAAGGTTTGCCTAGATCAAGAAGCAGCGCACACACACCTCATCTATGCAAACTAAAAATGTATATAAACAGCACAATACTGTGATACTGGATCATGATACATTACCTGTACACATAACTACTACTGTTATTAATAAACCTTTGGGACACTCAATTTTATGCCCAATAAGACATCATTAAGTCTTTAAAATCTTCTCTTCCTCTTTAATGGGAGAGTATTTCTAGACACTAATTTTCCCATCTAATATTCAAATATAGGAAACAGATTCCACAAGGTGCTTTAATTGATGAGACCTCAAGTGCTGTTTTCTCTCTTGAACTTTTGGATAGTAAACAGTCCATAGGGACCACACACAATACTATGACAGAAGAGTTGTTACATTAAGTCTTTTCATGGGACTTGATTGGTGAAGCTTTATGACATGCTTGAGCAACGCACTGAAGGGGATCCCATCTGAGTTAATACTTTGTCCAACCACTGTAGAGGTCCATTCAGATGAAGTTCAATCCAGCAAGGAGTACTTGTTACCGTCTGCCTTCTGTTTAAAAGAATACAGGAAAATGGTTATGAAATTCAAGTCCACAGGCAGGGAAAATGGCTATGTTTAGGTACACTGCATTAAAAATTTAGAGAAATTAAAAGGTTGTGTATATAATTTTGGACACGATTATTTCAAAAAATGGCTGATCCTCAAAGTACTTCTGATGATCTTGTTTTAGAAGTGATTTACAAGAACATTTTTTTCTCATCAAACTAAAATTAGTAAGGTGATCTTATTATTCACCATCATCCAAAATGGAACACCTGAGAGAGAATGTAGATACTATTATCAGGCCAGGGCCAGACGTGGTGGCTCACAACTGTAATCAAAGCACTTTGGGAGGACAAGGCGGGCGGATCACAAGGTCAAGAGACTAAGACCATCCTGGCCAACATGGTGAAATCCCGTCTTTACTAAAAATACAAAAATTAGCTGGGCGTGGTGGCGCGTGCCTGTAGTCCCAGCTACTCAGGCGGCTGAGACAGGACAGTCACTTGAACCCAGGAGGCAGAGGCTGCAGTGAGCCAAGATCATGCCACTGCACTTTAGCCTGGAGACAGAGTGAGACTTCGTCTTGAGGGGTAAAAAAAAAAAAAAAAGCAGGCCAAAAGGAGAGGCGTGAATAAGGATTGTCCAAGCAAACGAAGACATACAGTCACTGTACTTATCAAACAACCACAGAATAGTAGATACTCAAACATCAAATGGAATCTAAATAAAAGTATACCAAAGCAAAAACAAAATTTTGGCCCAAGCTAAACCCATACCACAGAGTGTTAAAAGCTGGAATTCAACTTTCCCTGCCAAAGCCAATGAACATCCCTCTTAGCAACACCATTCGGGCTGTTCATAGTGCTTCAACAAAAGGGGCAACTCTATGGGAATTACAAATTATTCAAACACATCCTGTCACTTCCATCCATTGATTTTAGTTCCATCTTATTTGCTATACAGAATAAGTCAATAAATCCACTTGCTTCTATAAACTAACAGCCCTTCAAATATAAGAAAAGCCCATTATCAACTCTTCATCTCCAAGCAACACATGTTCAATATAATTTAAAACTGTACTTCCAAGGATGTCATTTTCTGAGGCAGATGGCATCAGTGCCCCACTATACCCTTCAGATTTTTCAGTGTGCTCTAGGCAACTTCCAAATGCAGGTATCTTCATTTCTGTGCCCAGGAACTTCTCTGATATACCAAAAAAGGCTAGAGGTGCCAGGAAATTAACATCCCCAGGAGCAGCCCTCAACCAAGGAAACAGAAATTGACATTTACATGCCCCGCAGTTCTGTTCCCCTGGAGAGGATAATTCTGTAGACTGTTTACTATTTCCCAAAGTTTCCCCAAGGGTGTCAGTTCTAGTGACCCACCCACTGTGGTAGGTGGCTTAACAATGGTCCTGGCTGCCCTTTTCTCCCCTGTCCCACTTCCCTTTCAGGAATAAGTCATAATCCAGGTCACTCAAGGGGAGTAGGTTTAAAAAGGTTGCCACACAGATATATTTCTTGATTAAATATGAATTCTTCATACATCTAAATTCCCTGTTTACTACATTTCCTAATTTTTAAGCTAACAACCAAGATGGCATTAAAGAAATTTAAAAAACATAGTTTTAGAAACCTAAATATTAAGTCTATTTCCTCAGCTCCAGAATGATTAAAGACAGTAAGTCCCTGGTAGCTACCCACATATCCACAGATAGATGGGTATTTGCCACTTTGATTTGTAAATGTTAGAGGAAACCACTTGATCTTCCAAAGTCAGATGTACCTGACTCCCAAGACTCACAAAAACATACTGCATATTACTGCTTCTGTAATTACAGATTTTACTTTATCTCTGAGTTAAAGAATAGCAGAGTCCACAGTGAATGAAGAAGGACAGTACCTTTACCAAGTAAAACTGCTCTTAGCAGAAGATCTATAGATACACATGGAATTCTCTCTGTAATTCACTCTTATTTCCACTAAATTCCTATCATATTTTGCCTTATTCTAACCTTTTGAAGAAAAAGTCTGACCTGAAATCTTATTAGACAATATAATTTAAATCCAATTTTGCTATCAACTCAAGTCTAAAGCTTTAAGAAAACGGCATTCACCATTCTCTACAGGTAACATCTCAAAAGGGTAATAATCAAAACAGAACTATAGCAAAATCATAAAATGACTCTACCACTATAACTCAGAAAAATTAGTGACAAGTCTTCATTTTGATATAAATACATAACATATATTTTTAAATGTATTCAACAAGTACACCTCACTCTCAAAGTCAGATTTCTGACAAAACTTAAGTTAGACAACCAAGTTCAAAACAAATCAATTTGGAAGAGACCAAATTGCCAGAAGCAGCAGGAATACAATCACTATATTACATGAAGATTTCTTAAGCAAGCATACGGAGAAAGCAATACAAATTGAAGACTAAGTATTTTATTTTACTTAATTCCTACTCTTAAATATGGTAAAGAAGTCTTCCCTCTCTTTGATGTGAAATCCAATCTACTGTTTATCAATAATCTATTTTATCCACTGATGACAAATTAGCTTTTGTAAAACTTAAATATATAATTGTTACTACTATCCTTATAGAAGAGGTTAAGAGTCCAGGAGAACTATCTTCCAATCCCATCTCAACCACTTATAATGTAACCTTGGGTAAATTACCAGCTTTCTATGCCTATTTACAAATAGGTATTAGTTTGAACCATTTGTTACCTGCAAGGATGGCAATTTCATATATTTCAACCTTACAAAGAATGAATTGACAACAGAAATAGTAATTTTTAGATACTACACTTAAAACAGCACAATGCCTGTCACATTAGCAAGTATTCCTCCTATTTCTGAATGAAGTTCCTCCTCTTAACCTACATTGTTTGTCTTAATTTATTTGTCCAGCCTTATTTTTTCTATTCTCCAAACTGAATTGCTATGCTATCCTCAAGATTATCACTTCCCAACACTGTCCACCCCATTTATGACTATTGAAATCCAACGCATCTTTTACAACTGGATCCCGTGCCATCAAGTTTTTCTTGAGCACGGTGTGCAAACATATCTCCTTCCATAAACTAACATAACTCTTCATATACACCCCTTTTATGGTATTTAACACTCTGCATTATCTTAAAATGCATGCCCGTGCATGTTTTAATGATATCTTCCATGATGGCAGCTCAGTAATTTGCAATAGTTTTTAATTTGGAGGCCTCCAACTTTATTTTACATAAAGATCAGCTGACTCTAACTTCAATGAAAATAGATACAAATGAACTCCAGAATATGCAAAAACGGAATGAAACATAATTACATTGTGGAAATTTAAGAACCAAATATGTATTTCATACCGGTATTCTGCTCCCCACCCTTTCACAAAACTCATTCTTATGGTGCACATTCTAGTTAGCTGGTAGACGGCTTCAAAACCCTGATTAACAGACTGAGCCAGAAGAGCAGCAAATTCCTGGTTGTTGAAGATCTTCAGATTACAGCCTATGATTAAAAAAGGTAAAAGAAACTGTCAAAAGAGTATCACTACTAAAAATTTTAAAAGGGTTACAAGTTTTAGAATATGAGCATGCAATCATCTACCAATTCCTAAAATTAGCAACTAGAAAAACTAAGCAAGTTGACATGATAGGTTTATTTACATTATTGAATGCATACCTGGTGGAATTTTACACACTGTTGCAGGGTGCCAACCGTATCTCTGATTACAATTGGGGCTCTGCACAAAGATTGCACTATCACTTAGGCACTCAGCAAAAACTTCCCCACCTATGTAATATAAGCGCACTCCTCTTCCTGAAACAAAATACAAAGGAGATTAGTTTTGTAACATTTACTATTTCCGTGTGACTTTAGAAGCATTTTCTTGGGAAAATTCTAAAATGATATAAGGTATTTCGAGGATCTTTTTCACAGATAATGTCTTTCTGAAGTCTAACTTTAAATATACTACTGTATATGTCTCCAAGAATACTATTTCACCAAGAATACTATATATTTCTCCAAGAATATTCTAGGTTTTATTGATTTTAAAATACATGTGTATCGGAAGTATTTAAACAATGTAGAAAAAGTACACAGATAGTAAAATAGTTTCATACAAATGATCTATATTATTTTAAAATAAGTAAAAGATTGAGTTAATTTTTGAAGGAATTCACTGTTTGGAGAAATATATCTTCGTTACAACTGTATTTTCTTAAAGATCCCACTAACGTTAAGAAAAAAGATACAAAAACATCAAGAGGTTAAGAGTCATTTCCCATTTTGAAAACTATATATTACGGTGGAAACCAAGCCTCTAGATGTATAAGCATGATTGAGAAAAAATTCTACTGGGAGATTTTTAATATACTTCTTTCAGAGTATGATAGATCAAAGATGCAAAATAATATGAGATATAAGAATTTAAAAAAAAAAAATTGTGAGAGGCAGAATTCTAACACGGCACCTAAGAGTCTCAGCCCTGAGATGCACACACATTCCCTATTAATCAAACACTAGGTGCTGCTGTTAAGGAATTTTTCAGATGTAATTAAGGCAGCAGATCAGTTAACCTTAAGAAAGGGAGATTATATTTGGTGGGCCTGACTCAATCAGGCAATCCTTTAAAAGGGACTAGACTGTCATAGGGTAGTGATGCAAAGCATGAGAAGCATTCAACACAAGAGGCATTCTCCATCGCTGACTTTGAAGATGGATGGCACCACGTGACAAGGAATTCAGGTGGCATCTAGGAGCTGAATTCTGCCACAACCATGTGGGCTTAGAAGAGGACCTCAAGCTCCAGATAAGAACACAGGCCAGCTAATATCTCAATCTTCGCCTTGTTAAACCTTGAAAAGACCACCTAACCCATGTCTGGACTCCCGACCCATAGAAACTGTGAGGTAAAAAATTGGTGTTTCAGGCCACTGAGTTTGCGGTAATTTGTTACACAGCAAAGAAAACTAATAAAACAACATTCCAGATTTAATAAATACAGAACCTGGTACACTGGTTCTGTTAAGACTATGGAATATTTGTAAAATAGTTATGCATGTGGTCATTGGAAAAACATTAAGTCCAAAAGTAGAGATTTTTCAGGCTATATTCCCTTATCAAAATCACCTATAAAACTAGAAATCAAAAATAAAAAAAAATCTAATAATGACAGCAATCTAAAACTTTGGAGGGAGAAGACAATAGGGCAGGAAAAAACCCATTAAATTTTTTTGCAGAACCCCAAATAAGACACAAAAACAAAAAACTAACTATTTTAGTTAAAGCACCTACAGTGCCACTGGGTATCTTAATAAGATTATCCAAATTTATACATCAAGCAAGATTTGAGAACTTCCACATGGAACCAAGTAATAGATCTTCTAGTCATTATCATTTTGCAGTATCAAAATCAGCCTTTGATAACCAGCATTACTTCTCACAGAAGGTGATGGTTAATCAGAAAAAAAAACAGAAGCAAACTATTGTTAAAATAAGTTACTTTAAGGTGATGAGAATGATGTTCAATTATGAATGGCTCTCACACTTTTTCACTTCATTGTTAAGGAAATACTGAGCACCCCAAAGAGCTTTTGTTTATGTGAATATTATGGAAAATGACCATATTAGATATAAAAACTGAGATTTAAAAAACTCATTTAAAAATCAAATAATAAATACATTACATATTAACATAAACAATGTTTATGAAAAACAACTATTTCCAAAGCAAAAAAAAACAGTGGCCACATTTCACCCTTTTGCAAATCTCTTTAATGTCTAGTGTAACAGAATTGGAGTCTCACTATCAAATCTACATTTCATCTCCTGCAAAATCATACGCATGTAGGCTCTAGAATACTCCACTGTGCACTCATGAGAGAATGAGAGTAAAAATGGCAAACAGCATCTCAGTGCTACTGTGAAAATAGCTTTGACCTCACAAACTAGCTGAAAGGGTTTCTGGGACTACCCGAAGTCCCCAGACCACATTTTGAGATGTCCCTGAATTATATTTTGAACTATATTAAACGCAGTTCTTGTTTTAGATATCTCATTTCAGATGAACAGCAAGCAGATTTCATTTAATATATAAACTCACCAAAGGGGAAAAAACCTGGAAGCTATATAAAGGAACTGGAAAAAAAAAAAAAAAAAAACATACCTATATGCCTTCTTGTCATTTCTACTGTGGCATTTCGGTTAACATTGGAGAGTAAACCTAAGCAGAACCTCTCTGAATTTGATGGATCTGTAAAGCCATCTACAGTGAGTGAGGGTTGTGATGCATGGAAGGTTTCTCCAACCCTCTGATTTAATTCATAATATGCTATTGAACACCAAAATGCAGGTTCTGAGTAAGTAACTGGCTGTAAGTCTGAAAAAGAAAAAAAATAAAAATAAAAAATAAATAAAAGGAAGAAATGTGTGAACAATTCAAGCCAAAATTAGATTGAATATAATCATCTTTACATGCTCTCTGCCAGCCTGCACTGGCAAAAGCTCAGGAAGTAGACATAATCGGTTTCCATAGATCATACCAGATTTTCAATATTTTTCACCCAAAACTCCAGTTTCATATATCATACCAGATTTTTTCAAATTTCCCCCATGTCATTAAATCATTTTTTGTTGGATTCTTTGTTTTACCAGTAGTTTTAGTCTAGCTCCTGTTCAAATACAAAACAATCATAGGCAAAGTCAGTCAACTTGCCATACTTGGTGCATTTCTAAAGCACATAAAAAAGCTAACATGGGGTAAGATAAAGCCGGTGCAAAGATTAACGAGTCAAAAGCCACACAAAGAAAAATAGACATAATAAAAGGATACAAAATATGACATATTTTTACATTTGTCTATTTTAACATCAAATTCTTGGTGAGATACCCTAGCTACAAAAAGAGAAAATCCACTCACACATGAGAACCAGAAAGCAGTAACACACAAAGATCATGCAAGTGGAAACAGACCATAGAGTCAAAAGACTACTTATTTCACTGGAAAACTATGTATTTAGCTTCTACAATTTTGACTAAAACATAGGAATACTGCAAAAGAAAAAAACCTCATAATTGTGTAAAATAAATTCCAAACATATAACAACCCAAGAGAAATTGTGAAATAGCAGGGTAAAATGAGGGCAAAAATAATAATAGTAATACAGAAATGTATATATAGTCATCCCTTGTCATTTGCAGGGGATTGGTTCTAGGACCGGCTCCTCCTAACTAAAAACCCTCAGACGTTCAAGTCCCTGACATAAAAGGGCATAGTATTTGCATGTAACTTAAATTCACGTCATCCTGTATACTTTAAATCATCTCTAGATTACTCATAATACCTAACAATGTAAATACTATACAAATAGTTGTTATACTGTATTTTAAAATTTGGGCCCAGCACGGTGGCTCACGTCTGTAATCCCAGCACTTTAAGAGGACGAGGTGGGTGGATCGTTTGAGGCCAGGAGTTTGAGACCAGCCTGGGCAACATAGTGAAACCCCGTTTCTACTAAAAATACAAAAATTAGCTGGGTGTGGCAGCATGCACCTGTAGTCCCAGCTACTCAGGAGGCTGAGGCAGAGAACTGCTTGAACCCAGGAGACAGAGGTTGCAGTGAGCCAAGATCGTGCCACTGCACTCTAGCCTGGGCGACAGAGCGAGACTCTGTCTCAAAAAATAAATAAAATTAAATAAACAAAATTTGTATTAGTTTTTATTGTTATATTGTTATTTTCATTTTTTCCCGAGTATTTTCAGTCTGCAGTTGGTTGAATCTGTAGGTTGAACTCATGGTTATGAAGGGACCATACACATACACATTTGTACATATACACGCACACTCTCATATATATATAATCCCCATACTACATATACATATTTATGTCAATGTGTATATATATGTAATACCATACCTGTTAATTGCTACATCATAAAACATAACCATAAAAATCTAGCCATAATAGGTTACATAATTTTCTATGAGGAATACGATTTCAATAATAAAAAGATTATACCTATTTCTTATGCGTGTCAGCAGAAAAGACTTTTAATAATTTTGAGGGATGGCATCAATATTCTTTTTAAAAAGCACTATTGTAAACCACACACATAATTATTTGGTTATTCATTAGGATCCCTTTCTCCGATATATAAAAAATAACTCCTAGAGAAGATTTTTATTATTAAGTAGGTGATACAGTATAAACATGATGAGGGGAACGTATTTGCAACTTACCCAAGCTATGATTAACAGGGGAAAGAGTAGTAGGAGATAGTTCTGCTGGAGAGCCTAAAACAAAAGGATTTAATTTAAAAATAAATGAAGTATTTCCAGAACTTCTGATCAAGTAATCATAAAACTGGTTTTATCTGGTAATAATTATCAACAATAATACAAAGATAATTTAAATACCAAGAATTCAGGATATATAGTGCTTAAATTTAATTTGTGGGGGGTGGGTGGGAGAAAAGGTGGGGGGTTCCTGTATAAAAGGTGCAACAGTTTTGGCTTGCAGCCCACCAGTTCATCTTCCCAAAGATACTTAATGTTGACAGTTCCTTAGGTATCTTTCCAAAATATTCTATGAACCACATAAGCAAATACATTTTTGTTCTGTGTCCTTTCTTTTCATACACAAGTGGTAACCATTTTTGATCTTCTATATTATTCTACCAGATTGTTCACAATGTGTTATTAGTCATATAACATTGGGATCCCATATTGATGGATATTCAGGCTATTTTCAATCTTTTGCTACAAGAACCAACGCTTTAAGATTGCAATAACTAATCTTGACCATTCTGCATGCTTCCAATCACATCTGAAGGATACATTCTTAAAGAAACTGCCAGGTCGAAAGGTTTGTGCACTTGCAATTTTGATAGATTTGGGTAAAATTATCATTCATCAAGGTTGTACCAGTTTACATTCCCAGTCAGAACATAGTAAAGGGATGCCTGTGGTGTTATTGCTTCTAGATGAAAACATGGTCACAAGTACAGTTTTAATTTTGAGTAGCTTTACACATGTTTACACTGTATTTCCTTTCTGTAATAGCCTATTCTTTTTTTTTTCTGTGATGTTGATCATTTTCTTATTGATCATTCGAAAGCTCTTTATATATATTAGTGATACAAGACTTCTTATGGTATGAGTTACAAATATTTAGTCATTGGTCTTATGACTCTTAATCCTAATTTTGATCATGTAGCACTAAAAAAAAAAACTCTTCTACATGATTTATCAATCATCTTTGGGTTACTGTCACACTTTGGGATAAAACAGTGATGACGGTGGGTATCTTACTCTTGACTTTTAGAGTAATGTTTCTACCATTTTTCCCATTAAGCATGGCATTGGCTTTGAGGCTGACAGCAATGAAATACTTATTTAGGATTTTTGCATCAATAGTCTCAAGCAATATGAGCCTGAAAATTTACATGAGTGCTATGTTTGTAAGGCTCTGTGGTCAATGTTATTACAATCTAGCAATTGTATCCTCTGAAAAGGTTTAAACAGTATTATAACAGCATATTCTTCAAAAGTTTGGTAGAATTCTTCTGTGAAATTATTTATAGTTAGTAACTTTCTAGGGTTTACTATGAGACATTATTCTATGAAGGGTGACTTGTTCAGATAGCTCTATTTTCTGGAGTCAGTTTCGGTAAATTACACTTTCTTAGAAAATGATGTTTTTTCTTTTGGGTAAACAGGCTAAATCTAATCAAGAAAGTAAGGGGGCACAAATATACAAAATAAGAACCACCAGAGACAACAGATGAAAAATCAAGGTGCGACTAGTCTGCTCAATTCCATGCAACTTAATTTTAAAACACATTTGCTGTAAGCGTTGTTAAATAATCTTATTAAAAATATAAAAAATGTTTTATGATCACCATTCTCTACACGTTTAGGGAAAGTTACCTAAAAGAGCATGACCCAAGCTTCAAATGTATACCAAGAGCATAACTGTAGAATAAGATAGGTCAGGCCAGGCACAGTGGCTCACGCCTGTAATCCCAGCACTTTGGGAGACTGAGGTGGGTGGATCACAAGGTCAGGAGTTTGAGACCAACCTGGCCAACACAGTGAAACCCCATCTCTACTGAAAACACAAAACTTAGTCGGGCGTGGTGGTGCACACCTGTAATCCCAGCTACTCGGAAGGCTAAGGCAGAAGAATCGCTTGAATCCAGGAGGTGGAGGTTGCAGTGAGCTGAGGATATCCCACTGCACTCCAGCCTGGGCAACAGAGCGAGACTCTGTCTCAAGAGAAAAAAAAAAAAAGAGTAACATAGGTCAGACTGCCTTACACACCTCCTCCCTACCACACACCATTATAACCATGACATAAAATACCAGGCAATAAAGGTGAAACAGCAGCCCTAGATAAATAAATGAATCAGAAACAGAGAAGAGATGCTTATTTTTTACAAGACAGAACAGTCTTCCACAACATAATTATGCTCCTTTTTTCTCAGTTTGAAAAATCTGTTGGCAAGTCACAACAGGTACAACTAAGAAAGGTCAAAATATATTTGGAACAATAAGCTAAAATTCACTGCTGTTTCCTGAAGCCAATATAAAATAAACAAAGCCACTATTAGAAATGGAGGAAACTGCACAATTATTAATATCTTTTAACTGTTTACTCCTCTATTAAACACTTAGAAATGACCAGTAGCATCATTTAAATTAACAGGCGTTCAGTCAGATGGGATAAGTTAGAATTACAGATTACAAAAAAGACAAATTTTACAAACTTAAAATAAGCTAGCAATTAATAGAAGCCTTTAAAAAAAATTTTTTAAAAACCCAGAGGCAAGTAACTAATGATTAGCCTATGAATTATTCATACATAAATGCTGTTACTAAAACCTCGCCGACCACAGGCCTTCCACTTAGGAGAAATATAAATATCCTATTTGAGATCTACTGTGAATTAGCAGTGTCTACTTACAGCTAAACCATTCAGAGAAATCCCTGTGCATGTATCTTCGCATACAAATTTACAGATATTTGTGGGATACATTTGTCAAACCTTTGACAAATTAACAAATGTCAAATGAAATGTGTTAAACTTTTATAAGTACCAAAATACCCTCTCAAAAATGTTTCATCTCACCAAGAATTTAAAAGCTAGTGTTTCTTCACACTGTGTCACTACATGTTGACATCTGCCAATATGATAGGTTTTAAGGGAGCAATTTTTAAATTTCTTGTTTTTGTTGTAAATAGTGTATTCCTGTTCTTTTAGCCAATTCTATTAACTATCTTTTTCTTCTTGATTTGTAAGTTTTTAAACTTAAAAATCAGTTCTTAGACTTGTCATCTATTTGCAAATACCCAGGATTTTTTAAAAAAAATCTGTTATATCTTTTAAGGTGACATTAAATTGTTTTAATTTTTAAAATATACTGTATTTTTAGAGTAGTTTCAAGATCACGGCAAAACTGAACAGAAGTTTCGTACAAAGAGCTCCACATGACCCCTGCCCTGCTTCCCCAAATTCCCTATCAACATCTGCAAACCACAATGGTCCATTTGTTATAATAATGAACCTACGCCACATTATTACCAAAAGTCCATAATTTACATTAGGGCTCACTATGTTATACATTTTCTGGGTTTTGACAAACGTATAATGATGTGTATCCATTTACAGTATCAAACAGAGTAGTTTTACTGCCCTGTAAATGCCCTGTGCTCCACCTAGTCCTCTTTCCCTCCCACAAAGCCTCAGTAACCACTTATCTTTCTACTGTCTCCATAGTTCTGCCTTCTCCAGAATGTCATATACAGTAAGTCTTCATTTAACATCTTCCATAGGTTTTTTGGAAACCGACTTAAGCAAGATAACTACAACAAAACCAAATTTCCCCAATCATCAACATTGTAATGAAATGACATTACTTGAGGACCTATTGTACATTACTTGGATGTATCAGTTTATTTATCTAGTCACCTATTAAAGACATCTTGGTTGCTTCCAAGTTTTGGAAATTATAAATAAAGCTACTATGAACATCCATCTGCAGGTTTTTGTGTAGACCTAAGTTTTCAATTCATTTGGGTAAATACCAAGGAGAAGCAAGACTGCTAAACCATATGGTAAGAATATGGTTAGTTTTGTAAGAAATCACCAAACTATCTTCCAAAGTGGCTATACCATTTTTCATTCTGACCAGCAATAAATGAGTGTGCCTGTTGCTCCCCATCCTCACCACACCAGCACTGATGAACTCCCTCAGCTTTTGTTTGTCTGAGAAATTTCTTATTTCTCCTTCATTCTTGAAGGACAGCTTTACTGATTATAGTATTCTCGGTTGGCAGGGGTACTTTTTTTTTAAACGAGGTCTCACTCTGTCACCCAGGTTGGAGGGCAGTGGCACAATCTTGGCTTACTATTACAATCTCCACCTCCTAGTCTCAAGCAATTTTCCCACCTCAGCCTCCTGAGTAGCTGGGACCACAGGTGCGTACCAATACATCCAGCTAATTTCAGTTTTGTTTTTTAATTCTTTCAGCACTTTAAATACACCACTCATCTCTCCTGGCCTGCAAACTTTTCTGCTGAAAAATCTGACTGACTAATGAAGACTCCCCTGTTACGTGGCACACTGCTTTTTCTCTTGCTGCTTTTATTCACAATAGCAAAGATACAGAAAACAACCCAAGTGTCCCATCAACAGATGAACGAATAAACAAATGGTGGGTTACACACACAATTGAATGTTATTCTGCCTTAAAAAGGGAGATCCTACCACTTCTGGCATGGATGAATCTGGAAGACACTATGCGAAGGGAAATGAGGTAGACACAGAATAAGAAACATGACATAATCTCATATGTGGGGTTTTTTTTTAAAGCCAAATACATAGAAAAATAATAAAATAGTGATTACAGGTTGGGGGAAAACTGGGGGATTATAGGTCAAAGGGTATAAAGTAGCAGATACGTAAGATATGCCCAGAGATTTAATGTACAACCTGAGGACTACAGTTACAATATTGTGTTGTATACTGGAAATTTACTGAGTCGATATTAGGTACTCTTATCACACACATAAAAAGGTAACTATGTGAGATGATGGATTTAGTTGACTACAATAACCACTTCACGACATACACCAAATATCACGTTATATACCTTAAACATACACAATAAAAATGTATGTTTTAAAAAGTCTAATTTACTGAATACAGACCACAAGTGTTCACAAACCTTCCAGAAAACTGGGAATCATCCTGGGTTGCTTCTTCAACCTTATCCCAAATATGATCACTAGT